TCCAGTGGTTTGCCATCCGGTGATTTGTGCCCTAACCAACATGTGCACGGTTTTGAAGGATGGTGCAATCCGATAAACTGTGTCCTAACCACATGATTCGGTTGGATGGTGAATTATAGTGATTGTTTCCCTCTGATAATAACTCACTGCTTTGGCGGTTTGGCTCACTCTAGTACTTATAGTCTGCTGGTGAAGATGCGTGTATAATGCACTACAACTTTTCTTTTGAAATGCAAAGAGGCACAATGCGGTGGTTTTTTTTGGAACTCGAAGAGTTATTGTCCGATTAGTCCTACAAACAAGTTATATGATACGACTAGTTGGTCCTACAAACAACTTATGACAGGACCAGTCGGTCCTACAAACAAGTTGTATGATAGGACTAGTTGGTCCTACAAACAACTTATGACAGGACCAATTGGTCCTACAAAAAAGTAAAAGACCAATTGGTCCAACAAATAAATTGTATATATATATTTTATTTGTCACGTTTCTCAAACCAATAACTATTACTTAACATAGGGCAGGGAATGAACAATATGCTCACAAAAAAGTAGTCACTGGTGTACAAATTCTAAAGCACACTACACACAAGCATGAAGGCACTGTTTGCTAACCTACTCTTGAGTCTTTCATACATATATTTGTCATACACTCCTTGATGGCCTTGAAAATGAAGTATAGTAGGTGTAAAGTTTCAAACAGATGCTCGTGTTAGCATAATGGCCAACAATAAGAAAAAATGTGACAAAAAAAGATTTAGAATGGGTCTACTATTTTTGGTGATCATTCGATATAAAATGAATCTAGGTGTTTAAAATTCAATAAATGTAGTCAATTATGCTTATCCAGTCTAACTGGTCAAAACACAGATGTCTTAATAGCCAAAACCCATTAAACATTGATATTTATCGATTTTTTATCAAACTTGATTTTTGTTTTGGATCTGACTAGCCACGATACCAGTTGATGTTCAAATAGGGCAATCTAGTCTGGTTTTGATAATTTTATTGAATTTTATACAAACATCACCCATCGTCTATTCTCATTGGTTGCGAAATTGAGTAATTGTTCATGCTAAAAGAACTGAGGAGCTATAGAGTGGGCAACACCTCATCATCCACCATCCCTTCATCTACGTGATGTTGGCTCAAATACAGTTAGATCTTTTTGGCTTTCAGAAGTAAATAGCCCTACATCGACATGTAATTTTGGTTTTAAACTTAATCAGAAATATAAACAAATATATTACAAAATAGCCACAAAAAGTTGTTGTAAATTTCTTTGGGATTCAAGAGGGTGTGCAAATGTCATTAACTTTGTCATCCACAAAAGAATCAAAGTCTAAAATTAATTGCAACTATTGTAAACCTCTTCTAAGCAAACCCCAATATAATTTCTAACAAGCATGAACTCATAAAAAACTCATCTAAGTCATTCCAACATAATAAAATAATGCCAAATAAATTTTTCGTTGCTTGTACAACATTTATTAACCTTTAAATATTATTTTCAGATGCAAAATATGAAAATAAATGTTAGAACAAACTCACCAAATTTGTATGGATTTGCAGATACAATTTTGTAGTTTTTCTATAGAGTGAATTTTGTTAAGAATGAGTTTTCCAACAATATATTACACAAAAGAGTGATAACATGCTGCAAAACAATGGTTAGCAAATAATTTAGAGAGATAAACTTGTCCGATATGCAACACAGTGCTGGGATTTATCTTGTGATATTGGATGGCTGTCACAGAGATGAGAGACACGTTTATTACACCCAGTTCACAAGAAAGCTTAAGAGAGAGAGGTTTTAAAGAAAGAAAAGGAGCATGTGCGAAGATGCTTTGGCCTCCTAAAACCATTGCCCCATATATCTAGCCATAAAGAAAAAATGAGAGAGACACATGTAAAGCGAGAATGATAAAGTGTTGCCTCTTAATGAACATTTGTCACTCTTATCATGTGACTCTTTCTTTTTCTCTACACAAAGCACTAACCTATTTTAAAATACATTTTAAGTGGGGTAAAAAAAATAAAATAGAAATTGGACTATAGTTAGCAAGTTGGGGAATTATAATATAAAAGTGAACCAAAATATCGGTAATAAATCAGTTTTATTTCAAAAAGTCGGAGGAAAAAATTAGGTAAAAGTTACAGATCGCCAAAAAATAAGATAAATTATAGAATCATGAATATTTCGGATTTAGCTCAAAAAAATGGGGTGACATTATATAGGATAATGATTTGTAGTTCTTTTATATATATACATAAAAGCCATTGAACAATAATTTTATACCTTACCTAGTGTCATTAGAGTAATAATTAACAATTTATTGTCTAAACTTTAAATAAATCCAACAACGATGTTTATTCTATTATCGTAACACAAAACATATCATATACTTATTGTGAGCATAAAATGAAACAACAATAATATTAAATATAAGAACTATATTACTAAATAATAAGAACTGTAAACCAAGGTATAGATCATTGTTTAAAGAAAAAAACAAAAAGGGCCCTCAGCATAGGATTGCAGTTAGCTAAAATTAAAAACAAAGACCTAAATATGTAAAATAGTGGTCCATCCAAACCGCATGTTGTGTACACCAAATAAAAAAATAAAAAGTAAAAATATGAAATCAAACTTCTATATGCATAAAGAAAGCAACAAAATGTTTAAGAAAATTCAAATTTCATGCTGAATTCATATACGCATGAATCTTTAGTATCCTTAAATCTCTCTCTTGCTCTTTATAAGGATGCTCTAGGTTTAAAGATTTTTTTTTTCTTCACTGGGCTACTCTTCTTCTAACTCTACTTACTATTTCGATATATATGATTGTTTTGATATCTTATTTTTAGAGAATATATTGCTTGTATTTATTTGTATACTTTTTAAAAGGAAACTTATTGATGAAATGTTTATGGATTTTTTATTTTAAATTAAGGTTTTAACTTACTCCGATGTTAATATCTTTCAACCAATATTCAATATACTAAGTTAATGAAGAAATAAAATTACAGGGGAGAAGTTTTATTGAAAAGTTTGTTGAGAAAAGGTAAAATACGGATTTACACCGATTCCATTAAAAATCACAAATTATTGAAGATCTTTTGAAAAACTCGGAGTTCTTAATGGATTTCAAAAAATTGTGTTTTAAAAGGAGACTTTGTTTTAAATGGAGACTTGCTAACTATGAATTGGGGCCCTTATTATGCAAATATTTAGAAGGGTATGGTTTGTATAAGGTTGCCTCCTTATACTATAGAAGTAAGGTGCACCTCTATTTTTATTTAAAGTTGTTATGATGTCAAAAATCTTATGATAGCTTGAAAATATAGTTTCATCCCTAGTTATAAAACTTTAAATGTAAAAAACGACACAGATCGTGTAGATCAATAAACACTTAAAAATCTTGAAAATGGATGGTCTAGATAATTTTTTACAAGATACGCTCTTTTTGGATTTGAGATTTTTTTTCTTCTTCATGTCCATATATCTCAAGATCGAGATAATCATTTGAAGAGCCCTCCAATGCCAGAATGTTTTATTTTGTAGGATTTTTGAGGTGCACCTCATTTCAACAATATAATATTGCAACCTTATAAAAACTTTCATATTTAGAAACACATTTTGTCTAATGAGACTAGATTTTGGATGTGAGCTGATCCACTCCTTCCGGGCATGGAATAGTTTCGATTTTTTGTGATTTTACGTAGTTCCCAAACTTTTGATTTAAAAAAATGGGAAAAGTTTATATAGAGCTAACGATCTAAACAATCAAATTGGAGCCCACCTTACAAATTTTACTAGAAGAGGTTGTTTTGATGACCAAATATTCTCAAATTAATCATCTCGACACCAAGATGCATGGACATAAGAAAAAAATGGATTTCAAGAGTTGGGAATAGTGCATCTTGTAACACATTTTTAGACAGTAAATTTTCACGAATTTCACGTTTCATAGATCTGCTCGATCTATACAATTTTTGAAGCTTTAAATTTTATAATCAAATATGAAAATATATTTCAAGGCTATCACAAAGATTTTCAATATTGAAACCACATTTCTCGACAGTATTTGAAGGTGGGCTTTTCTTTGATTATTTAGAGCCTCGGCTCGATACAAACTGCACAAAAAAGAAAAACCTGTAAAAAGTTTAGATAGAGCCTAGGCTTTAAGCAATCAAATTAGAGCCTACCTCAAAACTTTCACTAGAAGAGGTTGTTTTGATGCTCAAATATCATCAAATTGATTATCTCGACATTAAGATGCATGGACATAAGAAAAAAATGAACTTAAAGTTTTGAAAATAGTTTATCTTGTAATGCATTTTTGGACCGTCAATTTTCATGATTTTCAAATTTTCATAGATCTTCTCGATCTACACTATTTTTGAAGCTTTAAATTTTATAACTAAAGATGAAAATATAATTTAAAGCTATCACAAAACTTTTCCAGTATTGTCTCAACACTATTTGAAGGTGGTCGGCTCTATACAAACCGCACCCAAAAAAATATTTTCCCAAGTTAGTTTTCTAAGAAAAAAGTTTATATAATGTTGCAACCTTAAAATAATGTAGATTTAATGATGCACCTCAAAAATCTATTGGAAAAAGTTGCTTTAATGCTGAAAAACCCTTTAATTGATTATCTCGACATCAACATTATGTTAAAAAAAAAAGATTTTGAGTCCTTGAAATAGTGCATATTGTAACATTTTATCTAGACCGTCCATTTTCAAAATTTTCATACATTTACAGATCTACTTTATTTTAACTATTGTTAGAATTAAAATTTTTATAATTAGATATAAAAATAATTTTCAGATAATCTTTTACAATAAAATTGCTATAATAAAATTCGGAGGTGCACCTTAATTGGATTGTTAAAGGTTGTAAACCACACCCATTTTCTAATCCGACGGCGTAAGTATATGCTCGCGCGGGAGCATGGTGTGGCGCTCGAAAAGCCAAAACTCTATGCAGCAAACAAATCCCCAGACCTCGCGCACCTAAACCCTAGTGGCCTTATCTATTGGATGGGTCTGGTTTCTGTTCGAGTTCTTGCGCAATGGCTTCTTCAGTGACCTCCATGAGCTTCAGCAGTTGGAGATGCAGGGAAACTATTTCTCCCCAACCTCGCAGCACCCTCTCTACTCCTTGTACCAGCAAGAGGACGTGCTTGTGGGTCTCCTGTAGCAGTACAAGAAGCCCTCCTCATGAATTTCAAGAAGAAGAAGTTGCAGAGCCGTGGAAGAAAATTAGGGTTGGGTCTGTGAATTATGACACAGGGAGCCATGAACTGAGGACCCAAATCAGTGGGTTGCGCTTAGAAGATGCCCCGAAACGTTACTATTGTCGAATGGCTGGGAGGAGGAGGGAGAGAGACTGGAGCATCAGTGATGTGGTTGAGAATGTTCTCTCTGTAAACCATTGGGAAGACATTGATGGGGTCCTCAATCATTGGTCTGGTCGTTTCTGTCGCAAGAATTACCCTGTTCTTATTCGAGTAAGCCATGAGAAATCACATCTCTTTGTTTTGCTGTTCCCATTTAACTTGTGGGAAAATTTTTTAGGAATTGGGAGCCCTGGTAATGGAGAATAGAGAAAGAACAATCTGGTATGAGTTGCTACTGCAGTGTTTAAACCTTGAAATTCAGTATTTTTGGATATATATTTGTGTCTGTTGGGAAATGATTACAATGAGACCATTGAATTTTGAAACAAGGAGGTCTCAATCACTAATGACGTGTTGGATTAGAAATCAGGCGGTTGAGTATGTGCCATTGATTAAACACAAAATCCAAAATAAAATTTTTCGAATATTGTAACACTTAAAATCTATTGAATTTCACATCCAATTGTTAAAAATGATAGTGAATCCTAGTACTAAAACTAAATGGTCTCATAATGTACAATCCCGTGTACCAATAATACATGGTTTTATAGGACACGGTTTCTATGAATCCATGTAGAAATTAGTCGACTCTTAAAAATCTATTTTTGAGATGGATTTTTGAGTTGACTCTTAAAAATCTATTTATATGAGGTTGACACCTTAATATGTAAAATTATGGTACACATTTAAAATCCTTCAAAAAAGGTTGTTTTGATGTTGAAAAATCATCTAATTATTCATCTTGACATTAAGATGTATAGATATGGAGAAAAAAAAATGATTTAAAGTCCTAAAGATAGTACATCTTGCAACACATTATCTGGATTGTCAAGTTTTAAGATTTTCATGCTTCTATAGATCAGCATGATTTGAAGTATTTTTGGAGTTTAAAATTTTATAATTAGGGATAAAGATAGATTCTCGTACCATCCTAAGAATTTTCGACAACAAAATTGCATCTCATGCAATGTTTGGAGGTGCACCTTAATTTGATTGTTTAAGGTTGAATCCTTACGATGCAAACCACACCTATATATAAGGCAGTCGGACAGGCAATAGGGGCGGCGTAAAGCTTGAACCCCTGGGAGAGGGAGTGAGGCAGCTGGTCCAATTTCCTTTTCTTTTCTGCCGAAACTCTGGCGAGCGAGGAGAGAGAGAGAGAGAGAGAGAGAGAGAGAGAGAGAGAGAGAGAGAGAGAGAGAGAGAGAGAGAGAGAGAGAGAGAGAGAGAGAGAGAGAGAGAGAGAGAGAGAGAGAGAGAGAGAGAGAGAGAGAGAGAGAGAGAGTAGTAGTAGTAGTAGTAGAGAGTAGTAGTAGTAGACGTAGTAGAGTAGTAGTAGTAGTAGTACGTAGTAGTACGTA